ATTCAGCTCCTAAATTCATTTCTATTTTAATTCCACATATGTAAAGAATTATAATAGACAATTTTATTATTTATAATTTTAACCAATCAAACAATAATTACAAGCTCGCAAATGTGTCAGTTAAATTACGTTAACTATTTTTCAATTTTCATATTTTTCGTTGTGATTCATTTTATTGGACAAAAGCTAAATTTTAAAATATCAGTTAAAATATCGAGATGAAATCCGAAAATTTATTTATAAATATAATTTGTAGTATTATCAGAGATTCTGAATCGTCAGCCAAACTATTGTGAGCACTAAAGAAAACACTTTATTGCAATAATTTATACCGATACTAGATTTTGTAGAAATTCTGAGATATCGATATACGTACAGTGACACACTCAAAAGTTCTGGATCACGGAAAGTTTTACGAAAAAAAATCTGGCGCCTCTTATATCGATTATTTAATGTCCCTGGTTTCTATACTCACTTTAAAGATAATAGCGAATTTTAATTAATGAAATTTGGACATTAACGTTAAATACGTACATGTGCGTATTTTGTTTTCAAATCCCATTACGTAATAAGATACAGCTATTCCATGAGCATTCGAAATTTTAGATGCCATCTTTGAGTTTATTTTATTAGATTATCGTTATCGTTATCGTTATGTCGGTGTTTTACGTTTATTTAAAAACGATAGAAATAATAAAAGACAGCAAACGCATGTCCAATTTTACTACCGTTTATTTGGCCCAACAGCAACGTACCGGTACGTGATAAAAATAACGTTATCGTTATTTCAAATTTGTGATTGCAAAAATCATTATAATTTTCAGTGACATTTTTCACGATATTATTGCATTTCTTGCTTTTTCAATACGCACCAAAGATTGAACGCTAACAGCCAAACATTCAATCAATGGGTTAAATAAATAACCTATTGAAGCTGTTGAGATCAGATAGATTAATGTCAATTGAAGTTAGCGTTAGCAAGCAACTTATGCGACACCAATATATATATTAATAGATACATGCCCATATTTACTTATTATATTCATGGATGGTTAGTGACAGCGAAAGAAAAATCTCGAATCATTTTTCGGTAATAAGATCATCCAGTTTCCCAATACGTAATATTTTGTTTTTGCATTTTTATTTTCTATTTTGTCTACGTATTCATATCGGTTACAAATTTACACCATTTCTATTGCACTCATCTCATATATTCCCGTAATTAAGATACATTAATGTACATTTTGCTAAAATATCAGTTATTTTTATCTGATTGCACTTGTTCAAACCTTTTTCAATTGCTATTATCAATCAATATTGTTCAGTTGTTAGAATATTTTCTGTCTTATGATTGTTGTAATAAGATTCCGTGCGATTTCCTATTGTCGTAATAAGAATTCGTGCGATTCCTAATAAGAATCCGTGCGGTTTCCTTTGTTTTTACACATATTCGTCAAAGATGCAAGATCATGCATTTGTGATCTAAGTCGTTGATTCTCGTCAGAGAATTCTCGACACTTTTTTCTGAAATTTGGTGGATTGAGTTCGTTCAACTGGTCCTGCAACTCGGCCAAGAGCTGTACCAATGCTTCATTCTGTCCTTGAAGCGCTCTAAGTTTCTTTCGCGGAGAATTTTGTTTGGCAGGTTCTGTTTGATCTAACGTTTGAAGAGATTTAAGCATCTTTTTGTGTCGATACGCATCCCATACTGTGACAAAATTCCACTCGAGAATCGAAGTAGGAATAGCAATCGTCATGATAGCCCAAAGAGCCATCAGGCTCGCAAGTAGTTTTCCCCACGGAGTGATTGGAGTATCAGCGTTACCCCCATAGTCGTTTATCGTGACTATAATAGTGTCCACAATTGACTGGTAAGAACTAGGTGTTTGAGTTCCGTCTTCTAGTGTTTTGTACCAGGTGCGTGTTTGCTCGTCGAATTCTCCACGTTCCAGGTAATACATTATGGACGATGACATGAGGATCACTATACCTATCCACATGAATAACATTGCTATTTGTGACGCCGATTTTTTGAAGACTTGGATTGTTACCTATTAATCAGACATCAAGTTAGTTTCCTCTAGACGATCTAAAAAAAAAAAAAAGACAAAGGTAACAAAAGCTTACGTGAAATATGACGGAATTTCTCACAAAATGAAATAGTTTAAGAATACGAAATAGTCGCAAAATCCTAAAGTAGCGAAAAACCGACTAAATAAAAGACCAACAAGATTAGAACCCAATTCACTTATTAACCTTTTGACTAGAACACACGAAAAAAGAGCAATAAAAACCACTGAATAAAATACTTACTCCCTCAGTTAGATTAAAGAATAAATCCAAATAAAACAGGATAATTGATAATAAATCAACGGCATTTAGGAATTCTGTCAAGAGGGACAAATTAGCTTTGTTAGAAAATGCATGTCACTTTAATCAATTGTCGATTTATTACTCACTTCGAATGAAAGCTAGTCGATGCACAGACGCGTAAAATCGTCCAACATACTCAATAGTAAAGATAAAAATGATACCAAATTCAAGGTAGATACTGTTGTCATTCAAAAAAATGAATTAGTCTATATATATATATATTTATATATATATACCTGGGTAAAGCTAATAACTTACAATTTGCTATCGTAATGAATGGTCGGTATTGAATCAATACAAATCATCGTAATAGTAGCGAGCACACATACGGATGAAAGACCCCAAAACATTTTTGCCCATATTGAGACTGGTCTTGCAAAAAAGTTAAAACATTTTTCTTGTAGCGGGGTACGAATTAACAATTTCTCTTTATCTAGGTCTTCGACTGGATCGTAAACATCATTCTATAAAAGATTCACATTTCACTATTAATATATAGAAATCCGGCCGGTATAAAAAAGAAATTCAATTATTATTTATACTTGCAAAAAATTCATCTACTTCTCCATCATATTTAGTTTCGTCGTCTGATTCATTAATAAATTCGTCTTCAGAATTGTCACTGTGCGACAGCATTTCGTTATTGTAACAATTATAACGATAACTAGTCAGAATGGAAACAGACGTAGATTATCTTATTTTATATCAGAAGTTATTTACCTTGGTATATTTAGTACAATAACATCGTTACTTATGTCATCACTATTAGTATCTCTTCTTTTTGGTGTTGTGAATGATTGGGACGACTGTTGTCGTTGTTTTTGTTGTGTTCTTGACGAATCAAAAACAGAATTTAGTGAGGGATTAGGTGAAGAAGTAATCTTGTCACTATAGTAACTGTCATTAGTATTATTTATTTGTCCTCTGTCGTTACTGGACATTTTATTGATTTTTTTGGCTCGTAATTTACTATAAAGTATAGCGATAGCAGATTCGCTTTTTATTTAAAAAGAAAAACAGTATCGATACACACGTATGAAGCGAGATTACTAAACAATTATGTAGCGAAACAGTAGTGGAACACAAGTGTAACGGCAACTAATATAGCCGATACACATTTAGTATGTTGCCTTTGTCTTCTCTCGCATGACTTATCCCACACGGTAACTAAATTACTAACGCTAACATATTCTTTCCCCCATTTAAAGCGCACATGTAATAACACTATCATATCCACTAATAAATTTTATAAGGAATGAGGATTTATTTAACAAGAGAACCTATGAATGTCATGCTATACAAACGTTTCAGAATCCTAGAAGAGAAAATGTATACAGTATCGCCTTTAATATGTAGTATTGTTTAATGATGTTGTGCGAGGTTACTATTACTGTATATCGCTCGATATATATATATCGAGCAATTTTTTATAGTGACTCGCACAAGTAATGGAACACGCGATCAAAACTTTCTAGAAATTTTTATCTTCGTCAATATCATTCCAAACAAAATAAAAAGTACGTACAAGGCCTCTAGTATTTCCTATCTTAGTCAAATTAGTAAAACTGGTTAATTTAATTCTCATTGAAGAACTTTTTTTCTACAACAGATTCAAATTTGGACCACAATTAAAAGTGCTATACAAGTGACTCTCGTTATAGTAAAGGCATCCGTACCATTAGTAACAAATCTTCAAAAATTTACTATATCGAGAGTTTATTAGCAAAACGAGAGGATTTATTATAGACTGGTCTTGGACAAACTTTACTATATCAAGAGTTTAATTACATAGTCTTTACTATAACGAGAGTTTATTTACTATAACGAGAGTCACTTGTACTCTACAAAAACCGCCTGTGTATATACTACAAAAATTCGCTCAAAAATTACCGATATTTAATGTTCGAATCTGCTAGGAGCATCAATTCGACTGTTTATTTACTTAGTGCTCCAATCGGGTTGGTTCAATCCGTGCCCGACCCGAACTGCATACTTCGGGTCGGGTCGGGTTGGGTCAAACCCGACCTGAATGTTTCGGGTCAGCCTAAAAATCGTTCAATATTAATTCAAATTAAACGAAAATTTGTGGATATATACACAGTTACATTCCGAACAACTCTACTTAAGACACAAATACAAGTGTCTTAGTAAAAATAAAAGTTATTAACGAAAAACTATTTTACAAGTTTCGGAGCAAACTCGACCCGAACCGAATTTATCGGATAGGATTGACCTCAAACAGAGCTTTATATTTACTACGTAACTATTTGCTCACAGAAATTTTCAGGATCTTATTCCCGATAAATTTCGAGCTAATTTTTGTGAAAATTATTACATAAGCGGATTTGGTAGAGTATAGCATTTTTACTTAGTGGTTCAAATTCGAATCCGTTATATAAAAAAAGTTCAATGTGAAAAATTTACCAATTGAAAATTTTGATTAAATTACCCAGTTTTATAAAATTGACTAAAATAATCTGTTGTCAAAATATTTTTAAACAATACTAGAGATCTTGTGATTCTAGAAAATTTCGTCACTGTCGTGGATTTATTTTAAACCCAGGCAGGATTCAGTATTAGACCAGATTTAATGTTTAATACACAGTACGTATTCTGATATTATGATATTATAAGTCGCAAAAAATATCTAACAGGCCTTGTAAAATTGAATTTGACATTATATTTATACAAAAATCTTCTATTGCGACTATTTGATGAGCCAATTTGAATAAAAAGAGTTTGATCACGGCGTTTTAATATCTCTTAGCATATAAAGAAAAAAATTAAGGGATCACAAGGAAATAACTATTTCATTCGTGGATCTAGGTGCAATTTACAAAAGTCGACTTCTTAGTAAATGATCAACATACAGAGATTTAGCTAATGGTCAGAGAGTACAAGTATATATTAAATCGTATTCATTTCAATTTTTATGGTTATTTTGAAATTTGTTGTTCGATTAATATATTAAAAATCCGAAATTAATCCTCTAACAATTACCTCCCTGTATAGTCACACTCTATGAAACATAAAAACATTGATCTTCACACAGTCACGTTTTTCTTATCTGTCTGATTCTATAGAGGGACGACTGTATTATGAAAAAACTTAATCGAACAAATCACATTATAATCATTTTTCTCAACACAATTTTTTTGTTATAAACCTAAATCAACTAACTAATTCTACGTTTGGACATTATCATTTTTTGATTTTGAAATCAATACGATACTATGGTGCAAGTCACCTATAATCAACAATAAATTGTATGGTTTAAATTTTTATACCTTCTTAATTAAGAAGGTATAAAAATTTAAACCATACAATTTTAGCACCATAGGACCCGAGTTATTTGTATATAGGTCAGGGTAACCTCTTCAGGTGTAATATCTTGATTTGTCCAAGAGTTTGGATACAAATTAGGATCATATATTGCGAATCAAGTAAGGATTCGTTCTCTTTGATAGTATGAATAAGTAATGTTGTGTACCAGTCATGAAAAAGACATGTACATGTATTATTCTTCTTTGATCGTTGTATAGCTGAACAAACACCATAATTATTCTTTTTCTGATCGTTATACATGTAAAACATGACAATCCATCATCATTGTGCATACGTATTCTAGAAAATTTTGTTTCACCCGACCTATATACTAATAGCTCAGGTCCTACATAGTTTATAATGCGTCTGACCTTACAAGTAATTGTTATTGATTGGACAATATAACAATAGTATTCCTTATTGAAATCCCTTACTACCCGAGATTGGTAAGAATTGCCTTGTTAATATTACTACCTGTGAAAGTCCATAAACTAAAAGATTAATTTTCAAACTGACTGTTATGATTTTGCTTGGAGTCTTATTCTTCCCGCTAAATTATTGAGAGTTTGTTTGGATTCGTATTCTTTCCCGCGAAAATATGTAACCTGATCATCAGAAATTCAGAATAAACCTTTTTTAATTCGACGAAATTTTCGTAGGCTTCTTTTTGATGTTCAGGCATCGTATTTCAATGATAGTCGGCAAGGCGAGAAATTTTAACATTGTCACCTGTTTGAAGATTCAGCATTTTTTTCTGCTGAGATGCTCGAAACATTAAAACGCGTTCTATGCTTTTACGTTGGCGATGGCTTTTTCTTTTGTTCTTTAAAAATTTTTTTGGAGGATGGGGAAGAAAGATGGTATAAAATAGCTTGCCATTTTGAAATTAGTTATCCCCGGTCGAACGTTATCCCAGATGAATTTTTTAACAGCATAAAAATTAATCCCTGAAACAGTATTAATTGCTCATTCGATTCATTTATTAATTGATTTAGTTTTTAACATAAAGAAATCAATACGTGAGGTAGAAAAAAAGCAATTATTTAAGCGCTTTTTAGTTATGCATCAATTAACAAAAAATTCGTTATTTAACATCAATGTATCTATCATGTATAAACTTTGCTTATGCTATTGAAAAAATTGGTTGCACAATGCAATGTATGTATCAATACATGTATAAACTTTTGCTTATTTTATTGAAAAAATTGGTTACACAATGTAATACAGTACGTAATTTGGCTTATCGTATACGTACGTACATGTAGCTCAAAAAATTAAGCCAAAATTCAATATTGATATGTTTGATATATCAATATACGTAATACTATAACTTTCCTGACCAGTGGTTAAAATTCATTTACAAATTAATCTGCGCGCCCGCATACTTTCAATTATATCTGCGTAAAATTTTCTCGATATGCGCATGATATAATATCAATGCCTCATATTATGGAATTTAAAGTATGAATTTTTTTATCTGCGCAACCCGTCTCCAATCTGCGGTGCGCAGATTGCGCAGGTTAATTTTAAACGCTGTTCCTGACCCTAACATTAACGTTAACGCTGACGCTAACGCTAACCACTACCCCAAACCCTAGTAAAATTTTTATTTATACATGTACAATAGATATTGTAAAAAATCACCATGATCTGCCACAATTCATAATGCACGTAAAGTGTAACGGTAACGGTAAATACATTATCGTTATCGTTATCGTTATCTGATTTTTTCCTAGCAATTGATTGGAAGTATGACTAATTGGTAATGCAAATGTACGATGCTTAAATACGTGTATTTATTATCATTATTGTTATCATTAACGTTAAGTAAATAAACACGTAAATGCAATACTGATAAGTGGGAATGGAATATTGAATCTTTCGACCAACACTATATAATCTTATCACCACCTAGGGATTGAGATCGATATTTTTTAATATATATTTGTTAGTTAATTTGAATCATGCGGTATTAAATATATGTTGTTGTGGTAACGGAATATTGGTGGATTCGGATCCACTTAGTATGGATTTAGAATTTTTGGCTAACACCATCTTATCCGGAATTTAAATCTTTTGTTATTTACTATTTTTTGACTAATTCAGATGGTCATTATCGTATGTTGTAATTGGGAACGGGATACGGAATCGGCCCAATTAGAGTATGTGGGGAAAATGAAGGACAAGTTAAAATTATTTATCGATAACTAAATATGTACATGTAAAACTATGACAATAACGATAACGATTTTCTGGTAATCATATGTATACACTCAGTGTCATTTATTGTTTATATTATTAGATTAGTGTGATTTTTAAAACATTTACAATTACAGTATTACAGTCAACTCTCGATATAACGACCATGCAGATCCTATTGTAAACAATATAAATTCAATAGAATCTGCATGGTCGTTATATCGAGAGTCGACTGTATTGTGTTTACGTAATTGGGCACCAAAAAACTAGCTTCAATTTATTGTCTTGATTATCTTCAGATGATCTATTTCGGAATTTTACGGAATTTCTGAAAACACATCTCCTTATCGTTATAACTTATTAATTCCTTAACTACACCACAACCCTATAAAAAAGCTGTGTGGAACTGCTATAAACTTACGCAAGTTTAGAATTTATCCGGAAAAAGCGTACCATTCTGTATATACGTATTGCCTAAATGCTCATTATAAATCCAAATTATCAATTTATAAGTATATATTAGGGCTTATAGCATAGCGATAGTAAAATTAATATCTAATCGAGTCATAAGATACCGATACACAGTAAATTAAAGAATATAGTCAATTATATTGATATAATTTGTTTGAATTTAGTGTTTTTTTTTGAATAAAGGATTCTTCTTATTTATTTTGTATTCTATACTTGACATTCAATAAATTATTTTTGAAGCAGTTGCTTTTCCAGAGGTATAAAAGATTTAAATAGTGCTTTAGGTACAAAAGCAAATATTTGTGTTTGAATTGTAGTTAAATTTGTCAATTAACAACTATCTAAAAAAAAATGAAAATACTGACAATCAAAATTGCAATCCGATAATCTATACTCGTTGTCTATTTTACGTTAAAACAGTTTTCATGATCTAAGAATGGTTTACATACAGTGATGGTTCCGAATTTATATGTTTAAATTGCAATGAAATTAATGTTTCTGGGCTTCAAATTATAGCAAGTGTTTTTGTCTGTTTGGGTGATTTAACAATTTGAGATTAGTATCTTCAAACTGCAGATCAGATTCCTCCCCGCGAAGGTTTTCAAACTGATGGTTATCGTTATGATTTTGGTTGGATTCGTCTTGACGACCGAAAACGGTTTCAAACTGATAATTAGGAGTTTGGTAGGATTTGTATTTCTTCTCGCGAAGGTCATTAGAAATTCTGGACGAATACAACTCTTTTAATTCAGACGAAATTTTTTTGTAGGCTTCTTTTTGATGTACAGGCAGCATATTCCAATGATAGCTGGCAAAGCGAGAAATTTCAGCAGCGTCACCTATTTGAAGATTCAATGTTTTTGTTTCTGCTGAGATGCATGCTCGAAACATTAAAAAAGCGTTCGGTGCTTTACGTTGGCGATCGCCGTTTCTCTTGTTCTTTAAAAAATATTCTTTTGGAAGATAGGGAGGAAAAGATGGGATAAAATGGTTTAGCATTTTAACCTAGTTATCCCGGACGAACAGAATTTTTAAAAAGGAAAACTTGATTTACTAAGATTACTGAAAAATTTATTAATTGATTAGGTTAACGTAAAAAATCAATAGATGAGATGAAAAAACAAGGATATTTTGTATCATAATTTCTTTCAAAAGCAAGTTCTTTTAAACGCTTTTTAGTTACATAAATCTCGGAGACAAGTATCTCGGAGACTAGTTCAAGCACAATAAAGGCATCACTTATGCTTCTGAAAACCTGCTTCATATATAGAAACAATACTACGTACACAGTGGATCTCGGCAGTTAACTATGATTTCAATAAATATAGATCCGGTTAATTGATACGTATACGTATATCGATATATGGAGGTGAGTCAATAGAAAACAAGCAAATTATATATGTAATACATATAATTTGCTTGGTTTCTATTGACTCACCTCTATATTATTTATACAGAAATTCATAATTGAGAATTTTCTTCAATACGTTACTATATATCGAATTTTTAAGTACAGAAACAAAATAAAAAACGGAAGAGAACAATGAAATACGTAATTTTTTTTATAAAAAAAAAGAGGACATGTATTTAGATTATCGT